TTCAGATATATTATTTTGCTTCTCCATATTCTCAAAGCTAGATAACGCATTTATTTAGCATATGATTTAAAATTAGGAACACTGTCGATTAAAGGTTTAGGGTTTGGGGGTTTTTTTACAAAAAAATGTATACATACCAATGCAGATTGAAAAAAAATCTTGAATTGGATGTTCTCAACTCCTGATTCCTTCACATGCAAGGAATGTTTATCCTAAAATTTAATGAAGATAAATAGTTGTCAGAAAATTAATATGTATTCAGCAAATCACGGAAGTCACTTTAGAAGTACTGAAGCACAGCAATATCATAAGACATTGGAGAAACGTTTCTTGGGAGGAAAAAGTTTCCAACTATACAATGTGACTTGTAAAGTCAAAAGAGAAATTTGTAAAGCCATATGCATTTTTTTCAATGTTTATTCAAACAATCGTGGTTTCATTCAGTCATACAAACAACCCTGTCAAAAATCTGCTCATTTCATAGATAACAAAGAATACATTTTTCAGCCTTTGTTACAGAGAATTTAGTTGTAATATACAGTACTGCTAAATAGGAAGGCTCTTGAATATTGGAATGCCATCTCTTGCTGCTCTTTTTGTTCTTTCCAATTGGACTAAGTCCGAATAATTAAGACTGCAGTTTGATGCCCACTGGCTTAAATGAAGCAGTAAAGCATACTGTGACTGAGATGTAAACATTTAGACAAGCATTAAATGGCATTAAAGTTGTTACTAGCTAGCAGTCATCTGGCTTTCTATAAATACAGTCCTATGTACCCTATTTGTAAGGCAGTGGAAGTTTAAATGTTGGCATACATGCAGTTAGGCTCTTCAACTTAAATGAACTTGTTCTACTACTATAAAATCAAACTCCAATTATTCTAATCAGTTAAACAAACAGAGCTCAGATGGGAACACAAACAGCATTTGTGTTATAGATGGTATAAGAATATCAAAAACTATAAAAATGTTATATATAACCAGCTTGTTTTCAAAGCATTGAAAATTGGTTAACAGCATAATCTGAATGCAGCACATTAAAAAAGATACCAATAATCTCCATTATTACCTGATTGGTTGAGGTATCTCTAGTCTACAGGATCTTCCAGCTCTACCAAAGATACCCTCACCCTTATTCTCTCTCTCTTGAGCTACCAGAAGAGTTTCTATGAAGCTCTTCAATAAATAGGGTTTTGAACACTTTGCAATTCTGCCTATCTACATCATTCCCAATTCTGTCAGCCACAGCATCTTTTCTTCAGCTGCCCACTGTATAAGAAAACCCCAATTGAAACCAAAGGCATATCCTCTTTCTCTCTCTCCACTGTAAAGAGCAGCTTTTACAGGTTATTTCTCTTGCCTTATTAAGAACTATAAAATGAAATGTTTAAATGGGTTACGTCATTACATCACTGATCCAGTTAACAATCTCCCAGAAGTATTTCAATCTTTCCCAATAGAAAATAAATGCTAAATATGAACTTTTTAAACATACAACTCATTCCAATTTATTTTGCAGTAGTTAATTAGCATCCATTTGAAGTGAAGTCTTATAGCAGTCTTCTTCAACCTCCAGATATATGTGTAAGACCAAAGTGTCCATCATTATCTGAAGAGTACCAAAATTGGGAAAGGCTTAATCTTTATTGAGAAATAATGACTTTTAGATATTAAAGCACGCTGCTAACCTAAGAATTAAAAGCCAATACTATGTGGATGGGATAATTATCCAGTTTTATATAGGCAAAATTGTGCCTGAACTATCATGGCCAACATTTGTGGCAGTACTTTTGTCCTCATAACAATATGTCTTTAAACATTGCTGCATGCTGTGGAATTGACCCCATAGAAAACTGGCTTTAACGCATCTTCTGACCAAAATGTAAAAACCTGGTCTATACAAGTAAGTGTTAATGGAAATCTGCAAAAATATGTACCTGGGAAGAAACACAGAAAGTAGTTAAATGAGATGGAGCAAGAAGGTGGAGGAATACTGGAATTTGGTGGGAGTAATGCCAGAAATCAGCTGTCACATTATCTAAAACTCTACTCCCACAATCTTTAGTCTTTCAGAGTCACAAGACAATCCAATTTCAAGGATTCACCCATACCTGTAATCCAAGTCCTTACAAAAAAAACAAAAACAAATACAGAACCTTTCCCTTTCACTACTAGTCTAAGGGTAGGAAACAAATCCCTCTCTCCCCCCCCCCAGTTTTCCTCAGCTGCTGCCTACTTTCTCATTGCTTCTTCTCTTCAGAACTGTCTTACTTTGCTTCTTTATTGGGCTTGGGCTCCATTTATTCAGCCTCTTCCTCACAAATTCTGTGGCAGCACAGCATCCAGGCAACCATTTTGCCTCTTGTCTGCATCTTGTCTGCATCTCTTCAAGCTGCTTTTTGATTGGCATTTGCAGATTGATTGGCAATTGGATCATCCTGGTGATGAAAGTTTATTTTTGTTTTAAAAAGGAAGGAAGTAATTGATACCTACATCAAGATACAATGTATTTTAATGCATTCCAGAATAGCATTCCACATTTATGATTTAGTTCTTGATGCCCTCTCTCTGATATGATTGTTGAAAAGCAAAGAGCACATAAAAGTATGGAGGCTTAGAGAAAGCTCTATATTCTATGGTACTGGATGAACAATAGCTGAAAATTTCTCATGATCTCGAAGTTATACTTTAAATATTTGCCTGTATCACTTCCTTCAAAAACAGCAGTTTGCCAGTATTCTTCCGCTGCAAGGAAATGTCTCCCCTATTTATATAATGACTAATAAATTAAGTGCCAATGGGATGGGTATAATGTCCCTTAAATTGTTAACTTTCTTTGAATGTTCTCAGAAAACAGTATTTTTAAAAAAACGTCTTGTTCTGGAAAATGTCATTACTTTAGTCATTATGTATGAAACTTGTCCATTGCTAGAATCCTTAGGGAAGTGAATGGTGGAGCCCAATATTATTATTTTTGCAGAGTTTGACAGAAATACTAAGTCAGAGACTAATAGAAAATAATAAACAAGAATAATAAGAGCCCAGGAACAAAGTGAAGGGCAGGGAGGAGAAGACCCAAGCAAAAAGCTAAACTTACTTTCAGATAAGTACTGGTAGTTTGTTTAAAGATCTCTTTT